CTCTCTTATTTCTTTCCACGTCTTTTATATCAGAAATGACCTACACCCCTTTTGAGAGGGAAGAAGCTTACAAATCTTACTAACCAATAGCATAAGGATTCACCCCATAGTCAACCGACAGGTACAGCCTATGGTTTTCGGTAGTGGGAACTATGCATACAGAAACTTAATCTAGCACATCGGAATGTTACCCTTTTTATGGTATCGCATATGTTTACACAGGTATCTGAAATTCTTCAAAGGGTCCCGAAACTGCACACATGGTTTTTTATTGCACCAATATATCCTGATAATCCTTAAGGTTCGTTTATGGTTTTATGGCCTACCTGATCTTTTCTTTTAGTCTGAATAGAGTTTTCCTTTTCAATAAAATAAGATATACAGAAAGGACTGAATACTAGTTTTTGTCTACCTGCTACACTTAAAACTCTCCTACATATATATTAGGGTGGGTCAAAAAAATAACTTATTTTGTTTTTTCAAGTGCCACGGAAAAATGGGTTGCTAGACACCTTAAAACAATTCTCACTAAATATGAGCTCTTAATTTTAATAGGAAGATCCTCCGCATCGCAGTTTTTTATTTTTTTTTTTTTTCAGTTTAATAGATTAAAATTCATACCTCATTATTTATTGATTGTACAGAAAAATGTTCAAGACGAATTTTGTAGGAAATTTAATGCTCTATAAAAATGGTGTCTTATATTTTTTCCGTAAATCTCACAATTTTAATGATATTGAAGATTTAAATTTGATGATTTTTAGACAAATTTCATTTTTGTTTATGAATTTTATAACTCGACAATAAATGACTATTATGAGATGCGCAATACAAATTTTTGTAGGAAATTAACTGCTCTATAAAAATGGTGTCTTATGTTTTGGCGATTAAATTAAACGTTCAAAAGATATTCATCATCAAACTTTCATGTGTACTGATTTTTGTCTCTGAATATCAACCTAATATATAATATATATATATGTAAGATTTATTGAATTGAAAATAGAAATATTTATTATAATAGAACAAATATTCAATTACTAAGGTTTAATATAATAACAATGAGATAGAAAAGAAAAGAAAAGTAAGTAACAATAGTTAGGAATCTTAAGTACACTCGTATTACACTCTTTCACTTGCAAATAGTCGCACCGAATCAAAAAGGCGAAGATCGCCTTCTTCGCCACGCTTATATACTCATTCACCCCACCAATGGTCCCAATCACTTCCGTCAATCATTCTCGAAATCTCTAGACTATTCCCGACCGATTAAACAAAAGACCTTTTCCCGATTTCCGGTTCGGGAACATTCGAGAGACTTCGGGGTGCACGCTCGCTTTTCTTTCTTGCTAGCCACACTCATATTCATATCGCTGCGTGCACTCACACTTATACCCATATCGTTGCATACTCTTACACATCTTTCACATTCATTAATTGTTTTCACGCACACCATACACTCGCACTCTTCGTCTTTCTCTCACCCTTACATATATATATATATATATATATATATATATATATATATTATCTAATTTGTATACGATATTTATAATATACGACATGATATAACATTATCTAAATTAGTTCAACTATAGTCTCGAATGTTCGCCCAATATTTTATCCGTTGAAATTGTCATTTTCGCTTTTGCTTTCGCTATTGTTTCCGTTATTTTCCAAATACAAACGACTCGTGGCACGTTTCCTGCGTTCAACAGACGAGCTTTCACGCAAAGTACCTTTGTCTCTTGCGTATACGTGTGCCACTCGATAATTACTTCGTTTATGTAATCGCGAATTTAATTAGCGTGCTGCTGGACGAGTTCACGGAATGCCTTCGTTACGGAATTTCGAACGTGTCACGTTAAAAACACACGCCGATGTGCCTCATCTCGCACACTTAACGCCTCTATACCACACATACACAACACATAAACATGGACAGGAACGATCCCTTTTAAACGCTCAAACTCTATACGTGCGATTTACGACCCTTTGTGTAGCCTGCGGCCACCGACAATAGCGATACATGATTTATCAAACAAGAATTTCGTACATACGTACGTACACTCGCTTGCCGCTCGTAGGGATACACCTAGGGACTCTCGTAGGGACTTTCGTAGGGACGTTCGCGGAAGCGTACAAGCTCAATACTCAGCTTCGATGCTTTTCCCGCTTCGTTCATGCCGATTAAACTCGTTACACGGATGACCGAGCTACTAAAAATTTCATGTTACCCAGCAAAGTTATTCCATTTGCAATATTATCACGTTATTTTATATATATATATATATATATTATATATTTCGATGTCCAGGAACTCAATACTTTTCTTTTTCATTTTTTATGCTGTTATTTTCTTTTCCTATCTCTTTTAGATTTATTCTACAATACTTAAAATTTAATTGAGTGATAAACGTTTATTATTTGAATCAATATATTTAATAAATTACATTTTGGTTATAGAGTAATCACATGTTAATAGGAATTTTGAAAGATATAATATTGTATAATACATTATTACAATTTGTCGTAAATAACTTTTGAGAAGACCGAGTATGAAATCGTTTAAAGAACGGTCGAGGCGGCTATTGTAAGTTAAACAAATCATGGTAATTTTTAAATCCCCCTCATCTCTAAACGTAGCCAACTGAAGCATATTTTATACAGATTGATCGAAATTTTCTGGACATTCTATACAATGCCTAAAACAAGTTAGCAATTTAATATATATGCATACGTGTATAATTTAACAAACTTTAAATTGTGCAATTCAGTTAAATCGTGAAAATCCTAGGTTTTATCTGAAATTATTAAAAATTTTTAGGAAAGTATATAAAAAAAATTTGATTACACCCTAAACTAGATAGTTGGAGAAAATAATGAGGTTATATATGAATTCACAAAAGGCAAATATATATATATATATATTTATAAACGACAAACGACAAACCCCCGGCACAATCATCGATCTCTGTTGGCAAGGACACGCAAGCAACGCGGCGATCTCTTTTCCTGTTTCGTCGATATGACTGATATATTTTTCGCGAAAAAATTAATGGTCTCAGGTACGGTGATGGATGCAACTCGACGCGTCACACATAAATTTCAACCTCGGCTGTCAATGAAACGTCGGTTCGCCGGTATGAAAATCGAAGAGTATGAATCGTAGACTTCGTCGCATACAGTTCAACGAATACTATACTATTTTATTATATTTTCTTTTTTTCTTCTTTCTTCTTATTATTTAATTACGTTTTATTTTCCTTAAATTTTTTCCTCCCTATTTTTAAAATATTCTCATCCACGTTAGGAGCTTGCACGTTTTTACCATATCGAACTACCAAAAAATGAAAAATGATGACATACGTCATAAAAAATTATAGGAAGAATTTCCATGAAAGAAAAGGGCCTGAGGGGAGTAAAAGAAAAAAAGAAAAACAGATCGGCAAATGAGAATTCAGATCCAGTTACCAAACGAAGCGAAGCAAAGTTACAACGGAAAGCAATTCGCCCAAGAAAATTCGATCTCGTGGAACGGGGGATCAGTGTATTTATAAAGAGAAAGAAAGAAAGAGAAAGGTCAGGGTATACAGTCCTTGAACAAGGATAGAAAAGTGGGGGGAATATTTGAAGAGGAAACCTCATCGATATATATTTGTCCTATTTTTCCGAGATAACGCGCGAAGACCACAGAAATATTCTCCTTTGTCGATCCCCAATACAGAATCACGACTTCCTCTTTTCCTTTTTTTCTATTTTCTCGGACGAAGGAACGAAGGGCGAAAGAGAGGTCGAAGGGCGTCGTCGCGTTCGTTGCTATCGAAGATATCCTGTGGCAATCCGAACTCAAGCCTCGAGACCACTTGAAAGTAAACGAGTCTCGTACTAAAAGAGAAAGCGAAAGAAGAGAGACAGAAAGTAGTGGGAATCCTCGATGGGTGGTGGTGGTTCATCTTTTTTCTTTTTTTCTCTTCCTTGCTGATCGAGCGAGAACAGATTTGTAGTTCTATCGTGTTATAGAGAAAAAAAGTATCTCTTTTAATCATTTTCCTTTTTATTTTTTATTTTTTTTCCTTGTCAATAAGAAATGAGATCCAAGTTGTATTTAAATCTGAATTTCTATTTTAATTATTCTATATATTTAATTTGTCACATGTAAAAGTATTTAAATTATTAAACAATTTTATTCATTTTCTATAATCGTTCTATAAGTCGTTTATTTGGAAATGGAAGACTATGACAATGAGATACAGAATCGATTGAGTCAACCCGAGAAAAGAGACTTCTTCCTATATATAATATTAATTGTTAATAAGAAGGATTCGTGTCGGAGTCTCGCAAGGATTAAATTCGTGGTTTAGGAGAACGACAATTTTGGCTCGAGTTTTGGATAGTAATTCGGTTAAAAGGCCATACCATTAATTCCAAAGGGACTTCATTTCGTGTTACCCTAAATCTCGGTTAACGTCTGTTTGATACTACCTGATAACACTTTACATCCGAATTTGACTAAAAGGCCTATCTCAGTCTTTAATTATTTTTCTTGTTCTACTTGAAAAATATGTTTATT